CGGGAGGAATCCGGCGCTCGAGGGGACGCCGAAAAGGCACCGGCGGTGGGGAAGGATCGCGATTCCCCACGCAATCGAAATAGTGGGGAGAGAAGGGGATTTCAGCAAGGGGACCGGCTGCGAGGCGCGCGGCTGCCGTCGCCAATCCGGTGCGCTCTGGAGGGGTGGGACTACACATCCCAGCAGCCCCAGCCAGCAGCGCTGATCCGCTGGTCGTCGTTTGGCGTATACCCGTGCCTTTCCCAGCCCGGTGCCCTGCTGGAGTTCGGGACTACAGGTCCAGTCGCCCCTGATGGGAGCTGAAGCGCACAACATAGATTTGCAATGGTTTCTAGCGGTAGTGATGTTGTGTTGTTGTTGCTGGAAGCCAGAAAATTGGGTGGGGATCCGATGCATAGTTAGGCAAAAAAAAGGGCCTGCGACTTAGACCGCAGCCCTTTTCGCAGTCTGAATACGAATGAGATTGCCGCTCAAGAGTGGGTTTTTGCCACTTGAAACCTGTTCTTCAATTCCGAAGTGTCTGTCCGTCCCCTCAGCACCCTTGTTCCAGGCTCTGGGATTCTGGTAAAAACAAAAGCCATACAGATGCCGGGAGACTGAAGGAAGCCCCTTTCCCTCTGACCCGTATGGGATTTTGCACTGTAATCTTCTCCGGAGAACAACCCATCCTCTTCTACTGCCATGTGCAGAGTCCAGATGATGTGGGGGAAGGTGAACCTGCCCACCCCTTGGGGACTTACCTTAGCTGGCCTCCTGCAGTTGGGTGTCCTCCAGGTGTTTTGGGCTGCAGTCTTCCTAGCATCCCTGCCCATTAGCCATTCAGCAAATGGCAAATGCTATTTTGGGATGCATTAATAGTATTGCTTCCAAATCACGAGAAGTAGTAATTCTCCTATACTCCTCACTAGTCAGACCCCGTCTGGAATACTGTGACCAGTTCTGGGCACTGAGATTTAAGAAAGATGCAGGTAGATTGGAAAGGCTCCAGAGGAAGGCAACAAAAATGATCAGGGTTTAAACGTCATTTTAATTGTTAGTATTATTTATTTATTTTATATCCTTGGCCAGGTCGACTCAAATTATATTGTTTTTATATTGTGATTATTTATTTATTGATGTGAGCCGCCCCAAGGCTTCGGCGAATGGGGCAGCATAGAAGCTTCCTAAGTAAATAAATAAATAAATAAATAAATAATCCTGCTCTATGAGGAGAGAATAAGAGAACTTGGCATGTTCAGCCTTGAGAAGAGAAGGCTGAGTAGGGACATGGTATCCCTCTAGAGGTACCTCAAGGGCTGTCACAAAGAGGAAGGTCAAGATCTCTCCTCGCTGACACCAGGGTATGGGACACGAAGCTCAAGTTGCAACAACCCAGATTCAGGATGGACATCAGGAAAAGCTTCTTCATGGTCAGAGCAATAGGACAGTGGAAGCAGCTGCCTGGAGAGGTGGGGGGCTCTCCTGCACTTGAGAGGTGCAAGGGGAAACTGGGCACCCATCTGATGGTGTGAACTGGTGTCCTGCAACAGCAGGAGGTTGGACCCGATGGCCTTCATGGCCCCTTCCAACTCTACTATTGTGTGATTCTATGCTAGGAGCTCACGTTCCAAAAATCAGGAGTGTACTCATTTGGGGAAGGCAGCCTTAACTGATTTGTACAGGGTGCTTTGCACATACTTGTTGGTACAGTGGTTCAAGTGTTGGGCTGCAATTTGGGAGATCTGGGCTCTAGTCCCCAGTTGGCCATACAGATCACTAGGTAACTTTGGACTGGGCATGGACCTTTAGCCTAATCTACCTCATAGGGTTGTTGTGAAGAAGAAAGAAGCAGGATAGAAATGTAACAATAAAAATGCAATAAATAGGAATGTAGCCACAGAAGCTAAGATCATGGCATCCGGTCCTCTCCCTTCCTGGCAAATAGATGGGGAACAAATGGAGGTAGTGACAGATTAATTTTCCTGGGCTCCACGATCACTGCAGATGGGGACTGCAGCCAAGAAATTAAAAGACCCTTGTTCCTGGGGAGGAAAGCTATGGCAAATCTAGACAGCATACTAAAAAGCAGGGACATCACCCTGCCAACTAAAGTGCGTATAGTCAAGGCACTGGTTTTCCCAGTTGCAATGTATGGCTGTGAAAGCTGGACCATAAGGAAGGCTGAGTGCCGAAGAATTGAGGCCTTTGAATTGTAGTGCTGGAGGAGACTCCTGCAAGTCCCTTGGACCGCAAGGCGATCAAACCGGTCAGTCCTAGAGGAGATCAACCCTGACAGCTCTTTAGAAGGCCAGATACTGAAGATGAAACCCAAATACTTTGGCCACCTAATGAGAAGGAAGGACTCCCTGGAGAAGAGCCTAATGCTGGGAACAATAGATGGCAAAAGAAGAAGGGGAGGGCAGAGGATGAGGTGGCTGGATGGAGTCACTGGGGCACTCAGCGTGAACTTGGGTGGACTCTGGGGGATGGTGGAGGACAGGAAGGCCTAGAGGAGTGTTGTCCATGGGGTCGCGATGGGTCGGACACGACTCTGCGACTAACAACAACAAAGCCATGAAAGCGGAATGTAGCCACAAATTGCAGTTGTTCTGGGATGCAACTGAGGCTGTGCTTCCAAAGGAGGACACTGCCTATCCATTAGAAGGAACTGGGTTCTTCTGTGGAAAATTCCATTTTCCCCACACTGGTACCTCTTGGCACAGTGTAATGAAATGGCCGTTTGGGAAGGCCACTTCATTCTTGTGTTTGGAAGCCACAATGCTCACCAGGTGCTCTTAGATCAGGCTTTGCTGGGGATACTGGGCATGGTAGTCCAACACATTGGAGGGGTGCTACGTTAGGGAAGTCAATTTTAGCTCACCACTTTTTCTTTGTCTGATCTACCTCAAAGGGTTGTCGTGGGGGAAAAGTGGGACAAGTCTGCCGCCGAGCGCCTTGACAGAATAATCATTAGGAATATTGCAGAGTCAGAAAAAGTACCAAACAGGAGGAAAGGTTACAAAGTGTGGGGCTTGGAGAAAAGGTGACTAAGGGGGAGGAGGGAATGTGATGGAGGGCCGTAGCATTTTGTGTGCTGTGAGAAAAATGGAAAATTTTTATTTCTGAAAATAAGTAGCTCGATGGGAGATTTGAGACAGCCTCTATCAAGCAGTCCTGAATTAAGCTATGCACATGTTGTTTGTTTATTTTTGCACGTGTATGCTGGCAACATTTAACAATGGTCGTCCACCTGGACAAATTCAGGGAGGAGAGGGCTAGCCAGGGCTATTAGTCCAGATGGCTGTATACTGATATCAGAAGCAGTATACTGGGGAGAGAGAACTTGGCTCCCTGTCCTGCTTGGGGACTTCCCAGGAGGGGTCCTTGGCCAGTGTGGGAAAAGCCGGGACTGATCCAGCACTTCTCCCCTGCTGATTTTTCTCAATCCCTCTTTGCTCAGCGCATTCTTGGGGCTATGTGGAAATTCACCAGCAAAATTCTTATTATTAGAACATTTCTATGCCGCCCCTTGCCGAAGCCTCGGGGCGGCTTACAACACAATAAAATACAATGCAATACAAAAATAACAATATAAAATTAAAATTTATACACACACACGATATAAAAGAAGTTATAAAAGAAAAGTTATAAAAGAAAAGAAAAGGAGTTGCCCTGGCCAGATAAATAAGTAAATATTGTTAACAATTAAAATGACGTTTAAATAAAAAGGTCTTCACCTCTCCTGCCTGGGAGTTGCGCACTGGCGGCAGAATGACGGGCAGATTTCTTTTTTCAAAAGGAGAGCTCTCTCGGGTGTTTTGGATGCGAGAAGCTACCGGGGTTCTGGACAGCTTGGAACCGGGATACCAGTCCCCTGACGCATCTGCCCTTTTGCTGAGGTCATCAGAGGCCATGTTATTCGTGGTTCCCTGTGGACCCATAGCCCAAGGGGAGCCTACCCAGGGAAGAGCCTTTGCTGTGTTGGCCCCTTTCTGTGGAACACGCATCCTCTGGAGGCCACGCAGACACCAGCACTGCATTGCCTTTGGTGCCTGCAGCATGTGCCTTCATTCTCAGAAGCCTTCCTTTCTGACCAGCTGTTTCTAATGCATCACCTTTATTCTTTCATTATTCACATTTATTTATTTATTCATTTAAAACTTTTGTAGACTGTCCCATTACTGAAGTCTCGGGGTGGTTTAACCGTACAAAAATACTTTCCTGGGATCTGTCTAGATATGGAGCAAAATACAAATGCTGCGAATAAATAAAGGGCTAGTACACTAATCCTCTTGTAGCTTGTCTATTTTTTAAATTAAAGCTTGTCAGTGGGTCTCTATGAAGCACTGAGAAGTAAAAATATGTTTTTTGTTCACTGAAAAGGAAAAATGTTGAGCAGCGATTTCTTATTTATATCTATACCTTTCTTTCAGGGAGCCCACGGAGGGGGCCTGACTCTCCTTCATCTCATTTTTATCCTCATAACAACAACCCCGTGAGGTGAGTTAGGCTGAGAGTCAGTGAGGGTCCAGAGTCACCCAGGGCGCTTCATACGTGATTGGGGAACCCAGTCACAGTCCAACCCTTTAACAACTGGCAATCAGCCATGAGGACTAGCAACCCAACCCATCCAGACGGCACCAGGTTGGGGAAAGCTGGTTTAATGGCCAGCTGGGATATGGACAAAGAATTAAGGACTGTATTTCAGGGCTCTGAACCCTGTGATGAGTAATAAGAAATATATGAAATGAGAAATCTCATTGATCATACAATGAAATGATAAATAAGATGAAAACATCAAATAAACATGTCTACATTTTCACTTCTGCATCTTTGGCATTGACAATTCATCCCCTCCTGGTTTCTAGAATCTCTCTGACCTTTGTGGGATTCATTTCTTCCCACAGGGGGAAACTAACCTTGCAAGGGAGGACAAGACACTGTAAATTCTCCTTCCTTCCAAAGCCGAGGTGCCCTTCCTAAAAAGGCGACAGGGAGCTGCATGGCCGCTTCGGTGTGAGCTGCCCCGATTAGCCCGACAAGCAAAATGGCCACCAAGCGAGGAGATGCAGCGACCCCACCTCTCCACTCGCTGCCGGAGCAGGGGGCAAGCATTAAAAAGGAGGAACGGGAACTGGGGGGCTTTCAGCTGAGCAGGGCTGCCGAGAAGGGCCCAGGCCTCCTTCAGGCTGAACATCCAAGAGACTTTCCAGGGGAAAATGAAGACAATCTCCTGCAAGAAGCTGGTGGCAGCTCCGATGCACAGGGCCAACCCTTCTGGCAGCGTTATTGCCGCCAAGCCAAGTGGCCCCGCGAGATCTGCAGCCAGCTCTGGGCCCGTTGCTCTTGGTGGCTGAAGCCGGAGAGGCACAGCAAGGAGCAGATCCTGGAGCTGGTGACCCTGGAGGAGTTCTTGGCTGTCCTGCCCCCGGAGATGCAGAGCTGGGTCAGGGCTGTTGGGCCGGGGACTTGCTCCGAGGCCGTGGCCCTGGCAGAGGACTTCCTGCTGAGGCAGCAGTGGGAGGATGTGGGGCAAGAAGAAAAGGTAAGACGCCTTCGTGATAAGACTTCACTATAAAGGAGAGGTGTTGGACCTTTTCCCTCCAGATATTATTGGGTTGCAGTGGGATGGGAGGCACCCATTGGGGGAGCCTGGAATCTTTCGTTGGGAACCCCCCACCCTCCACCAGGTGTCCCTGGGTACCAGTTTGCTGCCTGAGGACACCTGATGGAATAAAGGTACAGGGTCCGTGAGGATTTCTGCTGCATTTAATTCTCTGGATTACCTGGCTGCTTGCACACACTTCCATTTCCCCCTAATTTTTTACTGCCTGAGTTCTTTCCCTAAAGTTCAATTCCCTTGTCTCTCCATCCATACATGCTTTTTTTAAAAAACAAATGAGGGGTTCTTAAGAGACGGGGGATTTAAACACACTCAAGCACACACTTAAGAGCATGTGTAAATTTGTGTGTGCATTTCGTGGGCCTCTCCCCAGAACTTTTCGGTACCTGGGCCCATTGGGCTGTGGTTCCCATTATCCACGATCACGGACCCTGTGAGCGAAGGCTGATCCAAATTAGCAACTCGGGGGCTCTGGCATCCTGCCTTGTTTCGAAGGGTTGGAAATACGGGTGCTGATGATTCTCAGAAGACCATTCCCTCTATTAGATTCCTTCCAGCTGTTGCTGGTCGTCCAGATGACACACGTCCAGATTTGCAAGCGGGCAAAATTTGCAGTTGTTAAAAAGGAAGACAAAAACTTTAGGAAAAGAAAATCCCTAAGGTGGTTAGGGGGAACTTGGAAAAGAGCCCGGTTAGTGCAATAAACACATAATGTGTCGTGAGGGGGGGAACAGAAAAACAGGCAGGCAGGAGAATGACATGGAGTACAGAGGAAATGGGCATGGCTGGCAAACCAAAAGGAACATCCCTCATTCCAACACTTTGTTTCAGACCTCAGTTGCCTTTTGCTTAATATCATCATGGTAGTTGATCCCTTGGTTTCTCTGCTGTGCCTGAGCTGCTGCCAGGTGTTCATTGTTTATTTATTTTATTATTTATTTTATTTATTAAAACATTTTTATGCCGCCCCATTCGCCGAAGCCTCGGGGCGGCTCACATCAATTGTTTGGATTTCTTTGGGTTCTTTGCAGAAAGGAAGGGCCGAGCCTGTTAAAATGCTTACAATATTATTACACAATTCCTACAGACATAGCAAGCTGCCCTGTACTGAATTAGGCCATTGTTCTGGCCAGCACAGTATTGCTTGCAACTCCAGGGTCTGGCAGGGAGGGTCTTTCCCAGTCCTGTCTAGAGATGCCAAAGACGGAATCTGGGGCCGTCCCCATGCAGACCCTGTAGCCTTTTTCTCCGGATGGAATTCAGGTTCCACTGGGACTGAAGGAGGAAACGGCTGACTTCCCCGAGGCAGAGAGGGCTCCACCGGGGACCCGGCAGAGGCAGCTTTCAAGGGATATCAAGCAAGAGGACAACAGAGAGAACACCTCACTGGGTAAGGATTTGTCGAGTGTTGCTTGAAAGCAGTGGTGTGAAACCTCCCTCAGCCAGAGGGCCAGATACCACTGTGAGAAACTCCTGGGGGCCACCTGCTGGGGTGGGCGGGGCCAAAACAAAAAGAGGCGGGGCCAGAGTCAAGGGGGAGGGGCCCCAGACTAGACCCAAGTCTGGCCTTGGGTCTTACGCAGGGCCCTGTTTATGTACGAGCATGCAAAATGGGAAGAGGGCATGCATATTCTCCGCACCATTATGAGAGCGAATGGAAGAGAAATGCCTTAAATAAATAAACAGGAACTTATAGGGATTTATTAGGCTAAAATAAACGTGAGTTTTCAGATGCCCCCCGAGTGAAACAGGAAGTTTGCATGAGTGGTTGCCTTTTTCATTAAAATTTCCCTCTGCTTTTGTCTTCCTCACAGGCAGTGTGATGGGAGCCTGGACAACCGCTGCAGGCATGGAGGCAACTCCTGGTCAAGTAAGGAGCACCAAGGAATAGCTAATTTGGGTGCTGGTCTTTCTCTTAGGAGAACCTTAAGTTTCCACTTTGCAAAGACTAATAGCTCCACTTCATAACAGTTGGGCTTCTCTGGAATATTGTGTCCACTTCTGGACACTGCATTTTCAGACGGATCTGTGTACAATGGAATGAATTCAGGGGAAAGTCCAGATGTCAAGGCCCGGAAAAAAGCGTCAACAAGCAGAACCAAAAAGCAAACCCAGAAAAAACCTGAGAAATGGTTCCCACCCTCCAATTTTCTAAAGTTACTGGAGATTTTTCTCCTCAAAAATTCCTGACTTTTCCTCACAAACTTCCCTTCTCTGTGGGCAACGCACACCATCAGTGGTCTGGAAAGCAGGTCCTGTGGGGGAAGGCTAAGGAACTGAGTAGGGTTAGCCTGGAGAAGAGAAGATGGAGGGTAAACAGCACAGCAGCCTTCTTCTGGACTGAAAGGTTGGTTGCCTGGAAGAGGTCAAAGAGTTCTCTGTTGCCCCTGGGGGTGTTTGCAGCCGGGTTCCCTGCAGTGAGTGGTGGATCAGACTAAAACTCAGCCTCCAGCTCTTGGATCGGATAGCTCAGAAGCAGAGAACCTTGCCTTTTGCACAGAAAGTTGCAGGTTGAATCCCCAGCTCCTCACAATTAAAAACAGAAAGAAAAGGGGATTGAAAAACAAACAGTGGGAAAGATACCTCCCAGTCCGAGGGGCTGGAAAGCCAGTACTGGCTGAAAAGGACTACAGGTTTAAATTTAAAAGAGCTGAGCAGGGCAGTCAAGACAAGATATTTTGGAGGTCCTTCATTTATAGGGTCGCCATAAGTCAGAGATGACTTGAAAGCACGTCACAACATTTGACCTAAGGCAACTCCTGTGATTTAAGAACCAGTTTCCAGCTGCCAGAGAGCTGGCTCAACAGCCCCACTGAGATGTCAGTGATAGTAGAATCCAAATAGGAGAGTTGGAAGGGGCCAAGAAGGCCATCAGGTCCACCCTCCTGCTATTGCAGGACACCAGTTTACACCATCCCACTCAGATGGCTGCCCAGTTTCTTTTTGAATGTCTCTAGTGTGGGAGAGCCCACCACCTCTCTAGGCAGCTGTTGTATTGCTCTAACCGTGAGGAAGCTTTTCCTGATGTCCAGCCTGAATCTGGGTTGTTGCAACTTGAGCTGATTATTCCGTGTCCTCCACTCTGGTATCAGCAAGAAAAGATCTTGACCTTCCTCTCTGTGGCAATCTTTGAGGTACTTCTAGAGGGATATCATGTCCCCCCTCAGTCTTCCCAAGGCTGAACGTGCCCAGTTCTCCCAGTCTCTCCTCACAGGGCAGTGTTTCCAAACCCTGGATCAATGTTACTGCCTTTCTCTGGCGACCCACATGCCTTCAAGCAAATCTGAACACCCAGAAGGGCTAGAAACTTAAAAAACATCAGCAGCAGCAGCACGGAAGCTGGATCCTCCACTGAGTGGCACGTCCTTTGCTCTCCTTGCACTTGGGCGGAATCGCCGTACAAACACAGCCCCTGCTGTGAGTACCCCCTTTTCAGCAGGGGGTGGACTTGCCCAGCTCTGCAGGGAGGGGCTGCGCTGCCCAGGACTGGGCGAGTGGCCTGCTGCGGCGGGTGGTGTCCTTGTGCCGAACCTGCTTGCCACTTGAAAAGCAGCAAAGGAGCCGAGATGAACGAACAGAGGCGATAAATCACTTGCAAATGTTCTGATTTTCTCTATGCAAGTTCCTGGCATTCATTCGTAGGCAAGAAAAGAGACTGCGGTAATTCCTGTAATCTCAATAAAAACATGCTGTGTAAGAATTCCTGTAATATGAAAAGGGCAGTTTGAAGGTGTTCCCTGAGTCTCTAGCAGCATTTTGGTACTATATGAACATAATAGTTCTTTGTTTATGTGCTCATAGCAGAGCCTGAGGCCTCTTTTCAGCTTTAAATATTCCGACACAAATATGCTTACATGTTACTTACAGGGTTTTCGGCCTGGCAAGGTCCAGGAACTGGCCTTCCATGTTACTTACAGGGTTTTACATGTTACAGGGTTTTCGGCCTGGCAAGGTCCAGGAACTGGCCTGGTGGAATCACTGCCATTTTGCATAGTAGCTCCTGGTCGTGAGAGGTTTGGCTTAGCAAACAGGTGTTGCAGAAGCCTTTGTCTATATGCAATTATTTTGTATCCCATTTTACAGATTAGACCACTGAAGACGACTCTTGGTTAAAGCGGGGTGTGGGGGGCTGCTTATCCATGCCAGCTATTCTTCTGAGCTTTGCAGATGGTGCTCCATAGTGGAAAGGCTCTTCTGGGGAAGCAGCTTGCCACCATGGAGATCTCCTCTATAAAGCTCAGATTTAGTCTCTTATGGTATTGTAGGAATTACTACATGACAAAGTTTTACTCTCTTCTGTCGTGCCAGCAACTTGCATAGATAAAACCCCTTTGTTAGACCTTTTGGAAATGACTTTTTTCCAGCAGTTTGTTCATGCCGGTTCCTTTGCCGCTCTTGCTTGCTGTGTTGGGAGACATTTTCCTGCACAGTTTGGCATGCCCACGCTAAGGTAAAGTCTTGGTCGGCACTGGGATGGGTGGCCATTCTTGCTGCTGCTGGGTGAGTCCTCTGCTCTGTGCTCAGGGACAGGGAGCCTCATCCATGCCTCAGTTCTTAGAAGGTGGGGTGTCCCATGTGGCCCAGAGCAGGCCTGGTGGGAAGGGGCAATTCACCTCTCTCCACCCCAAATCTGCTTCTGTAAAGCATTCTGTGTAAGCGAAAGGGGGTTCATGCCTTGGGTTCAAGAGAGAGCCAGTGTGGTGTAGTGGTTAAGAGCAGGGGATTGAGACTCAGACGATCTGGGTTCTAGTCCCCGCTCGGCCATGGAGCCAACTGGGTGACTTTGGGCCAGTCACAGACTCTCAGCCCCACCTACCTCACAGGGTCGTTGTTGTGGGGATAAGATGGAGGAGGAGAATGATGTAAGCTGCCTTGAGCCCTTTGTAGGAAAAAGGCAGGATATAAATCGGAGGATCACATTGATAGGATCTCAATGAAGCTGTTTATTAAAGAAGCCGGTGAATGCTGAATATTGCATTATAAGTGAGAGACAGTCCAGTATAGTGGTTAAGGGTCCTGACCTGGGACTCAAGGCATCTGGGTTTTATCCCTTGCTCATGCCATTTATTTTTATTTATTTATATTGTGATTTATGGAGCCAACTGGGTGACTTTGGGCCAGTCACAAGCTCCCAGTCCAACCGACCTCACAGGGTTGTTGTTGTGAGGTATGCTAAAGATATGAAAGGGCGGCATTTAAATCTAATAAGTAAATGAATGAATGAAATAAGCAAGCAAAGAATTAGAAGGGCTCCAGGCTTCACCTGGAGGGATCCTGCTACAGATGGGAGCAAAGCGATGCTTCTCTTTTCTGTCTCCGAGAAGCCCAGCCAGCAGACACAGAGGCTGCCAGAGTTTAGCCAGCATGTTTGCACTGTCTTCTGTCTACTCTGAGGTTCACCTTTTGTGCCAATCTTGGGACATATACTTAATTCTCTTCTAAGCTACGTGCAGTAGCTTAGCATGTTCTAATTAGGCTCTTCTAATTAGTCACCTACTGTGATAGGTAGGTAGGTAGGTAGATAGACTGTCCTTGAGACAGCAGCCCTGAGTAGACAACAGCCGGTTTTTTGTACCCATCTCCTCCCAAAGAACTCCCTCCTTCGAGTTACATGCTACTTTCTTTACACCCTGGCACAGTTGGAGGAAATGCACCTGCGTTTAACCAAAGCTGAGCTTTCTAAAGTCCTGAAAAAGTAGCCTGGCCAGGACGAGTTGTGTCACGCATCTCCTCGAGAGACAAGGGCCTTCTGGATTGTAATGCCTCTGTATCTTGCATGAGATCATTAGCAGGTGGTGTCCTCTTTCTCCAGGGGCTGGTGACCTTCGAAGAGGTGGCAGTGTATTTCTCCAAAGGAGAGTGGAATCTGCTGGATGGCGGACAAAAGGCCCTGTACAAGGAAGTGATGTTGGAGAATTACGGGCATGTGGTCTCCCTGGGTAAGGGCACAGTTCGTACAGCCCGAAAGCATCGGTGAGGTTGTGCGGTTTGTGTTCGTTTTGCACCTTTGTCTTCAGCTCAAAGTGTTTTGCACCTAAGCTGCAGTTCTCGGGTTTTGTTTCTTCCTGGAGGCAGGAGGTTCGTCACCCATCCCACTTCCCTGGCCCAGGTTTGGGGGTATCCCCAGCAAAAGAAACCTCTGGAAGGACCCTTCCTCCTGGCAGGAGCAGGAGGCAAAAGCACTGTTGTGAAGGGACAGCTGAAGTACATTTCCTGTGATGTCCCCAACATCTGTATTATGTGCCAGCTGTTAGGAGTGAGAAAGAAAGACGGCTGCTTTGGGCGCACATTCTCCAGGGCTGCTGGCTGGTCTCCAGAAGAACTGGAATCAGAAGGAGAAGAGGAAAAGGCACAGAAGGGCCAGGGAATGTGGGCCAGGCCAAGACACTGAGCTGAGAGAAGCAGAGACGCTTATCTCAAGGGCAGACTCCCAGGTGGGCCGGCAGGCTGCCTCTAGGAATAAGCAAGATGTGCAGTCGGCAGGAGAGGTCCTGAAGTAGGGGATTTTCTCAGACACAGACGAGGCAGCCCCGGCTCTTGACCCCATGGCGCTGCGTCCGCAGAGGAGGCTGGCCCAATTAGAAGATGAGCGCGCAGAGAGGAGCCGTGTTCGTTTTCAGCAGGCGCCTCCGGCATGCTAAGAGAGTCAGTTCTGGGTGTTTGTGTGCTTTGGTCAATACAGAATGATTTGCAAGAAAAGATCTGTGGCTTTGAACGCACGAAGGAGGAACCCAACACTAGCAAAGAGATCCAGCAGCCTGGAATAGCCCCTAGTTCAATGCAACGAAGCCATCGAGAAAACTTACACAGCGGACTGAGTAGGACACGTGATACCTGCCCCATCTCAGTGAAGCCACGCCTGCTGTGGTGCCCAAGATGACCCTGCCATGGGACATCTCTGGAGCCCTCGGAGAAGGGTCTACCCACTCTTTTTCCTGGAGTGTGGGGTGCCCCACAGCAGATGGAGGGGGGAAGTATACAACTCTTTCAGCTTCCCACTGTTTGAGCAGCAGAGCTGTGTTGGATAGGGAAGGCTGCCACCTAGTGACTGGAGATGTTACTGCAGGTTTTAACCAAATGAACACCTTTTAATTAATTAATACACGTTAAAAACCAAAAAACCCCAAGGATTCCCTTAGTTCGCATGCCAAATTTCAGATGCCTGGATTTTAGTCCTGCCACAGTGGCACCAACAGATCAACAGATAGTCAGACACACATCTCTGTGATAAATATATATGAATAAATATGCATTAAGTTTATATCTCACTTTTCCACCAAATTAGTGTTCAAGACTGCTAAGGTTGTAATACAGATAAAATAACATGAAACATGATTGTGTTGTTATATATCATCATCATTATGAAACATTAAGAGAACCCAGAGTTTGTTTTGCGGGTGTGAAGTGTTGAGTTGTTCACTGTGAGTTGTTAGCTCTGCAAGGTTGAGACAACACAATGACTCAGCTTTCAACAATAACTCTTGAGTGTGGGTTGTTGTGTTGTCTGAATACAGTCACTGTCATCTTTTTCATGCCATACAAAGAGGTACCTTTTTCCTGGGCGTTTGAACGTTAGTTAAGCCCCTTTCCGGGCTACTTTGTGGTGTTCGTCCCAGGCCATGAAGAGGCAGGGAAATTTTGTTTGTTGTGGGATAAACATATTTCTCATCATTTTGAGATGACATTTTTATGGGTTTCATTTGTCTTAATGCACTGATGGTGGCTTATTTTTGACTTTGAGGTGTTTTTTTTTCTTTATATTGATTAGGGGTTTCTTCATTCGTAAGTGTGAGTGAAAAAAGCAGTCGGGCTGATTTTCTTCACACACATTCAATAAATAATTTTAACAATTGGGTGCCCAGCACCAGTCTGCCACATGAAGGGGGGGGCACAGTTTCCAACATTTTGAAAATTAAAATTGTTGTTTTGTTCCCTTGGAAGCAGGACTTCTGATTCTCAAACCCAACCTCATTTCCTGGCTGGAAGAAGAAGCAGCAGAAGGAGAAAAGGAAACAGAGACAGAAGGAGAACACCTGTTTGTCTGGGACTCAGAAAAAGATGAGAATTCAACAGGCTTTTTGGGTACCTTCATTATTGATTTGATTTCCTTTCCTTATTTAACATGCCACCACGGCAGTTTATGAAAAGTTATTTTGTCGTTACTAAGAGCAGACCCATTGAAACCAATGACGCTTGGGAGAAACTCATGCCAGGTTTTTCTTTTTCTTCTGGCAGGTGAGGAGAACGAGTGTAGCAAGGAGAAAGAGCAGCCAGAAAGCTCGACGGAGGACATGCTGATGGGAAGAGCCGTAGTCGGAGGTGATTTAGAAGAAAACTCCAAAGGGTTCTTAGAGCATCACCCTGCTAAAAATCCCATCCAGTTCATTAATTCCTCAGGGGGATACAGTGATCCTGATGAATACTTTGCCAAGCAGAGCATCTTCAAGGCAGAAGACGAGGGAGAGTTTGGCCGTGTGAAAGCTTTCCGGTGGGGGCCCGATCTTGTGGCCAGCCCTGCGAAGCTGCCAGGGGAGAAGCTGCACCTGTGCTTGGTGTGTGGGAAATGCGTGTCCACCAAAGCGAAACTGGTGATCCACGAGAGGACCCACACGGGGGAGAAGCCGTTCGCCTGCTCGGCCTGCGGGAAGCGCTTCAGCCAGCAGGCCCACCTGAACGGCCACCAGAGGACACACACGGGGGAGAAGCCCTTCCGGTGCCTGGAGTGCGGGAAACGCTTCAGCGACGGCACCTCCTTCAAGAGGCACCAGAGGATCCACACGGGGGAGAAACCCTACGAGTGCGCGGACTGCGGGCGCTGCTTCCGGGACCGGACAGCCATCAAGAGGCACGTGATCGCCCACATGGGCAAGAAGCCCCACAAGTGCGAGGACTGTGGGAAGTGCTTCTTGCACCGCTCCGAGCTCCTGAAGCACGAGCCGAGGCACCCGAGAGAGAAGCCCTACCGGTGTTCGGTCTGCGCACAGAGTTTCAGCAAGCCGCAGTACCTCTTCAGCCACGGGATCGCCCACGTGCGGGAGCGCCGTGAGCACCGGCAGCACAAGGCGGGCCTCCCGTGCGGGACGCCGGCAGGGGCGCTCGAGGGGGTTCACGGGACGGAGGGCGGCCAGGGCACCGTGGCGAGGTGCGCCTTGGCGCGGGCAGAAGGGGGAAAGGCGTTCCGGTGTTCGGAGTGTGGGAAGTCGTTCACGCAGCAGGCAAACCTGGTGGTCCACTGGAGGACCCACACGGGCGAGAAGCCCTACCAGTGCGCCGAGTGCGGGAAGAGCTTTGGCGACCGCACCTCCCTGCGTAGGCATAAGAGGATCCACACGGGAGAGAAGCCCTACCAGTGCGTGGACTGTGGGAAGCGCTTCAATGACGGCACGTCCTTCAAGCGGCACAAGACGACCCACACGGGCGAGAAGCCCCATAAGTGCAAGCGCTGCGGGAAGAACTTTATGTATCACGTACAGCTGATTAAGCATGAGAGAACCCATGTGGGGGACAACCTGTAGAAATGTGCCAACTGCGGTGGGCCGGCTCCACAGGCAGTCCTGCTACTTCCTGGAAAAAAGGACACCTGGGGTGGAAACCAGGAACAGGGCTGACACAGCGGAAGAATCTCGGAATTTTGTACTGGGTGCGGAAGCCGCAGAAGAGGGGTGCGGAAGCTGAAGTTCATGGAACAGATCTGGCCCTACAGGGGTCCCTGGGCTTGTCCAGGTATCCCCCTCCCCTCTTTTTGTGCCTACCCGTCATTTGGTGGCGTCCTGGAATGTGTGCAGCCTGCATCTCCCACTCTGAAAGATTGCGATGCTTCCTCTAAGGATGAGATGCTGATAAAAACAGTGTTGAAGCGAACAGATGCTGTAATTTTGGCTCTGCCTGATTCTCCCTTAGCCTTGCTCACGGCCAGCACGCAGCTTCTTCCAGCTTTCGGGCCGGAAGAGGTTCCCTGTGCCTGTCATAGAAAGATGAATCCTCCATGGATTTGTCTCATGGTGCTTTGGAAAGCCTCAGCTGCCACTGCTGTTGTCACCGCTGCTGCTTATGGCGAGGAGTTCCGCAGCTGGAGGACGCATGCAACGAAGAAGTCCCGTTCTTGTCCAACTTTAATTCACTGCTTGTTGGTTTGCTTGCATGACCTGGAGTTTGAGTTTTAAGGGGGAGAAGAAAAAAATCTTTGTCTATTTTCTCCATACCATGCTTAATAAATTCTCTACTCTGTCTTGACTTTTCGTTTCCCTGGTGCTCCAACACCCGCTCCCAACACGGTTGTGGTTGCCCTTTTGTGATATGTGTAAGGTTACTGCACAGGGCCACTCGGGCTTAGCTAACCTGGAACGGGGCTTGCTCTTGGTACAGGTCAAGAATCCTCGCTGCTAAACGGGCAAAGGCCAGTCCAATACATCTGTCTGAAAACTGGAAAAGTAAAAACTAAAAAGAGGCTGTTTTGAAGTGGGGTACACCGTAATATCTTGTGTTGCTCCTTCTCCAGTGGTGCTAGGCGACAGTCCCCTTGGGATCCAGCTTGTCTCTCTGTTGGACTTCCTGCGTTCGGCCTTGTTTAGGGAAGCTCCGAGTTGTGTGTGTGGAACAACGATGCAGCTAGCACAGCATTAGCACAAGCTCAGCAGGAGGAGAGCTTTTCCACGGAGAGGTTCATTCAGAAATGTGGCGTCATCCACCAGCAAACTGGAGCAGTACAGTCCATTCGGCCCAGAGTGAGACCAGATAGATTAATTCATTATACATGTTTCATTGATATGCTGAAAAAATTCCATTTGCAGGGGTTTGCATAATGGGCATTTACCATTTCATTTTATTTTTAATTATGTTTGCTATTCCTTGCCCCTGTTTTAAAACATTCAGTTTTTAAAAATGTTATTTTAATTATGTTTGCTGTTCCCCTGCCCATTTTAAAACATGTTTCTAGTGATCTGGCTATATCACATCACATTTTATGAAATTATGCCTCAAGACATGAATATGAGAAATAAATGTGGGTGGTTTGCAACGGCACATAAAAATACAGTATAAACTACAAACAGCATTAAAAACATCATAAAGCAGATTACCATACAAAAATGTAAAACGTGTATAAAAATGACAATAGTTTAAAGTAGATCTTAGACCAGCATCATGGTCTTAAGTGCATCAAGGGTTATTTTTCTTCTACTTGCTTTTATCCTACTTAAGGACCCCCTGGAGAAGACCCTAATGCTGGGAACAATTGAGGGCAAAAGAAGGAGGGAATGGCAGAGAATGAGGTGGCTGGATGGAGTTACTGAAGCAGCTTAAGTGGCCTCCAAGCTTAAGTGGCCTCTGGGGAATGGTGGAGGACAGGAAGGCCTGGAGGAGTGTTGTCCATGGGGTCGCGATGGGTCAGACGCGACTTTGCAACTAACAACAACAACCAGCCAAACAGTCTCCTGGACCTGCTTATGTGCAAACAGTAAAACAACACAGCTCCTACTTGCAAGCTTATAAAAAGATGCATCACGGAAGGCAACGGAGATGGAAAAGGAAGAGGGGAAAATTAAGTCTTTCAGCCCAGCTGGTGACATGATCCTGCTTCTCTTCCCTCCCAATGTGCAACTTGACGGAATGGATTCTGCTGGTGAAAGTCGAGGGAAGAAAATCCTTGTTTTGAAACGTGGTCAAGAAATAGGTTGAATAATACAATGAATGGTGTTTTGACCGACTTTACTTTCTGCAACCCTTTTCTCCTCTGGATTCATAATTCCTTAGTTCAGACTTTCCAGACCTGCTGGCTCCAGATGTGTTAGACTATAATTCCCAGCATTCTCCCCACAGCATGGCCAGCAATACTGGAAGTTGAAGAAGTCCAAATCTCCTGGAGGCCACCAGTTTGGAGCATGCTGATTTAAATATTTTTAGGCTGCCTTTTATTGCCCAAAGTGACCTGGAAACAAGCAAACAAGATGCACAGCTCTCCAGTACATTATCACACCACAAGATGTAGTGGCTTTAAAAGGGGACCGGACAAATTTACAGAGGAGGAAGAGGCCTTGTTAATGAGGCAGTATACCAGGGTACACCATTTACTGGGGAACATGGGTGGGGAGGCTGCTGTTACCCACCTTCATAGGAATCTGTTGCTTGTGAGATTCCTAGCTTGAAGCAGCTGGTTGGCCACTTGGGGTGATCCTGCAGAGCTTTCCTTATATTCATCAGAAAATAGTCATTGAAAGGGCAGAATAATTGAGGCCAGCATCATGACATTAGAAGTCACCAGAATCACTTAAAAACAGTGTTGCAGTGCCAGCATTATAAATATTTATAAGAATCCACTTGAAAGAGATGAGCTTTTAACACTCTTTTGAAGGCTTGAATGGATGAAGTGAAACAGGAAGGAATTCCACAGACATGGGGCCACTGCCAAAAAGACCCTGTCTGTGCGGCCTAATCAAGCTCATTGACAGATTCATTATCACTTTTAATGGCTTTCTGGCTTGGAGGAATGCAAAGGTGCAGCACTGGATCCTCCAGAAATTCCCTGACAGAGCTCTAGATCTATTTGTGATCACTTTTAATAGCTTTCTGGCTTGGAGGAATGCAAAAGGTGCAGCACTGGATCCTCCAGAAATTCCCTGACAGAGCTCTAGATCTCCAAAGGCAGGACTGTACCCTAATCAGCAGCTTCAGCACATGCTCTAACGGGTGTGTGTCTACCATCTGCCAGATCAAACCTGAGTCCATTATGTACAATTTGCACATACTCATCCTCCTTTCTCGCATGCTCTCTCTCCCCCTCTCTCCGTGTGCATGTGAACTCACAGAAAGATGGGGAGCAGGCAGAATGAAGCCACTTTAACTTACTGCTTTGCACAAAATTGTTCTTATTTTGCAAGACATGGGAAAGTTCTGGTCCTCATGACTGTAAAAATGTCCCTGGAAGCCTGCATAGACAATATCCTTTCAACAGTCAGAAGTAAGAAAAGTAGAAGAGACTGCAAGATGTTGTAGGGTAGAATGGGGGTCTGCTAAGGCCCTCAAACACTTTCTGAAAAAGTTGTAACCCTAACTACCAACATGGAATGAGAGAAAATGCGGTGGGTGGGGAGGCAGATAAGTCCCCCTCGGATGTTTGCTTCATCCATCCTGCAGGAAGAAGCTTTATGAAGTATATTTTGTGTACTGTTATTATTGTACCTTTGCATTTGTAAACCACCTTTTTTCCAATTTATTTCCTGCCTTTTTCCTACAAAGGGCTCAAGGCAGGTTACATCATTCTCCTGCTCTCTCTTATCCCCACAACAACCACCCTGTGAGGTATGTTGGGCTGAGACTCTGTGACTGGCCCAAAGTCACCCAGTTGGCTCCATGGCCGAGCGGGGACTAGAACCCAGATCGCCTGAGTCCCAGTCCCATGCTCTTAGCCACTACACCACACTGGCTCTCCTTGGGAAGATTTTGCAAGAAGTAATGATTCTAAGAAAGAAGAGACAAGTCAGAATTGTTGGTAACCCATTTTGCAGATAGAGGGACCGAGGTGGAGAATGAGAATGAGAGAGAGAGAGAACATGACTTCATTTGACCACAAATGTCCCTTCCCACAAAACAGATGGCCAAGAGACTTTTTACCTGGAGGCAACAAATTCCTCAAGTCCCTTTCTCTGTCAGTAAAAAGTTATAAGTAATGCAACCATTAAGTTTGCTGTCCTTTCATTTTTATGTATTTATTTTCTTATTATTACATTTATAGCCCTCTTTTTTCCTTCCAAGGAATCCAAGGCAGCACACACAAAGCTCTTCATTTTATCCTCACAAAAACCTTGTGATGTAGGATAGGCTGGGGGGTCAACAACTGGCCCAAAAGTTCCCCAGTGAGCTTCATGGTTGAGTGGGGACTAGAACCTGGATCTCCCAAGGGCCAGTCAAGTGCTCTAACCCATACACTAAACTTCCTTGAATTTAGAACAGCTAAGCAGGCCTATCGTGGACAGAGCACTTGGGAGGGCTTATGCTCACAGGGTACCATGAGTGGGAGACGCCTTAATGGCACACAGCAACAACAACAAACAACCCCAGATGTTGCAACACTTCCTCGTAGGAAAGCCGCAATCTTAGTGCAGCTCCAGCATGCGCGAGGAAGCCACCCACACAGAATAAAACCGCATTTGTCTAGGAACGGGCTCTATGGTTCCGACCATAGAATCCTCATTTCCAGAGCAACCTCGATAGCTGGCCGGAACCGTCAAGCCCTCCTTCTTAGGACACTCTAGGAGTAAGGCTTCTCTGACAGGAACCATAGAGCCTGTTCTAGAGAGTCGCCCTTCCCCTTTTTCTCCCTTCCTTCCTTCTCGTCGGAGGTGGACGTTGGGCTGGGTGCGAGTCTGGTGGTTGCCAGATAAGACTTGTGGGTGCGGGTCCGCCTCGGGCCTTGCGCTTTTGGCAGCCCCCGTTTCCTCGCGCTGACCCTGCAAAGACCCTGTATTCTGGGCGGGCCGCTTGTGCCACCCCCGTTGGCCTGGGCAGCGGGGAGGTGACCGCCGCTTTCCCCTTCCTCCCTTCTCTCCAGCAGGGCCCCGTCCCGGCCTCGCCTTCAGGAGAATGGCGTCCCTGGTGCCGCCCCCTTCGCTGGCTCCTCCTGCCGGTGCCGCAACAGGTGCCGTCGATTCAGCCCAGGTAACCATGGAGCATCGGGGCTGGGGGCGAGGAGGCAGCCCGCCGATGTCCCTTTGTTGGAGCATCGGGGCTGAGCCTTCTGGCCCCTCTGCTACTCCGGAGAAGCCGTGCCGAGAGGCAGTGGTAGGCATGGGCTGGAGAGAGACCTGGGTTTGCATCCCTTGCAAGCCACAAAGCCTGGTGACCTTGGTGATGGTGAAGACAATGGTTTGAATCCAGACCTCGTGCTTCTTTTAACCAGTCCACTGAAAGCTGTAGAATGTAGATTAAATCAGCTCTCGTGGATTTCAGTGGGTCGTCTTTAAGCATAACAAGGGTGCAGTCCTGTGCATGTTTAGACTGGAAAAAAGCTGGCAGGGGAACGCTGGGAGTTGTCAGACATTTTTCTGGCCTAAACTGGCATAGGATTGTGCCATAAGTCTGCATTGAATCCTACAAGTGCACTGAAGGAGCGTGCAATAAAATGTTTTTGCTTAGGATTTAAACGCCAAGCAGTGTGCTGGGAACAGAAGGTCTCCTTCCATTCATAACCAGACAAATTCCAGTAGAAAAGCTTACCAGTGGAGGGGGAAGATACCATTTTTGTCAGTTTCCCTGCAGGCCAGCTTACTATTCCAGATGGGAAACCAATTTTATGGAGCTCCAGGGGAAATAGATGTTGGCTTCCCTGCTTTCATTGCTGGGAATGTCCTGTGCTTGAAACTGTGTCCCGGGTGTATTCCTGCCAGTGGTAGGAAACTCAGGACCTCAGTGATTGTTCTCTTCATTTTCTTTCCTTTTTAAAAAATTCAAAAATTTATTTCAATAAGGTGTATGAAATGCATAATAACATGCATGTGAGTAATGAGTTTTCCTACATTTGCCAAGAAATTTCAGCTGTCGTACACACACAACTATATCATCGGAAAACCCGAGTGCAGCGTAGTGGTTGGAGTGCTGAGGTGGCCTCGGGAGACCCGGGTTCTACTCCCCGCTTGCCTTTGAAGCTCATGGGGTGACTTTGGGCCTGTCTTGACCTCTCAGCCTAACTTACCTCATAGGGTCGCTTCAAGATAAAACGGAGAGGATGACTAGGTAAGGCTCCTGCTCCTTGAAGGAAGATAAGTGGGATATCAATATAAGCAGCTTGATGGGTGCCTCTAAGAAACAGTCTGCACTGGGAGGTGGTCTGCTCTTCCTTGTTGGAAGACGTGGCCGCAGTTCAGGGGCAGGGTTCACACACGCTTGCATGCAGGAAGTGCCAGGTTCCGTTTCCAGCAGTGCTGGACAGGCTGGAAAACACCCCTGCCTGAAGCCCTGGGGAACTGCTGCCACTCAGTGTTGGCACTGCTGGGCTAAATGGACTGAGGGGCTGAGTCAGCTTAAGGCAGATGGAAAAAACGGAGGCAGATGGGTGGCCACGGGAGATGGGTGCTCTGGTTGCATCCTGCCTCGGGGCTCCTTCCTTGAGCAGGGGCTTGGATGACTTGGGGATGACGATACCCACAAGCCCCAGAATTTCACAATTCCAGGTGTCTTGTTTTCTGTACCTCTTCACTGTAATATAGTACAGTGACATGAGGTTTACCCAGTGCCCATTTACGTGTGAACTTAATACGAAGTGAAATTCAGAATGTTAATATGTGTGTGTATTTTTTTCATATCCGGAAACCGTCACCACCCTTCCCTGTAATGTCTTTCAGGTTTTGATGACATTTGAGGAGGTGGCTGTCCATTTTAGTAGGTCGGAATGGTTCATGCTGGATCCGGCCCAAAAGGCTCTCTACAAGGAAGTCATGGTGGAGAATTATGTGAACGTGGCTTCGCTAGGTAAGGATCCCTTTGCTCCAAAGGTGTTTCTGGATGACGTGTATAATATGAGACTTTCATATTTTCTTCATGCACTTCTAACTGAGGATATGAGTAAGTCAGGAATGCAGAGCTGCTCAGTGGAAGGGCCAAATTACATTTCAGAGAAGCTCTTGGGGACACATTCCAGTGTTGGGTCAGGCTAAGGGCAAAAGATGCAGGCCCCCAAAATACGAGCTGTTTTGAACTTAAGACCATTCTTACTGCCCATAACATGCCACTAGAGAAATATTTCAACCTCTGAAAATGAGAAAAAATGGCACAAAAGTTGGGAAAACACCCAGTGTTTGTTGTTGCGAGCCGAGTTCTCCCTCACAGAAGTAACAGTCTCACCAGCGCTTCTTGCTGAACGTCTTCATTTTACATATAAGTCTCTGAGCATACACAAAGCAAACTGTTGAACCCTCTCTGGCCCCCTTCACCCAGAGCTTTGCTTATGAATCCTCCTGTGTCCGTCTCGGGGAGGGGCGCTGTGGGAATGGGCATGCCTGCGTTCCTCCCTCTGAGATCCCAGCTGGGCCACCCTATGACTGTGATGACAGACTTTTGGGTCCACCACCTCAGGAGGTTCCATCAGATAGACTCCCCATCTCTAAATCCCCCCTTGGGCTGTTGTTGCTCTTCTTCGTTCCCACGGGCAGATTGACTGGGCCCCTCGGCTGCCCTTGAACTAATCTCCCGCCTAGTAGGAACAGGTGGGCCCCCGGGGCCTTAGACTACAGCTGGAACTGTGTCCATTTCAACAACCATCTCGTTATCAGAGCCCGAGCTGCCAGCCCTGCCGGGATTGGCCAACTCCCCTTCGTACAACTCACTCTCAGGGTCTGAGCTGTCAGTCCTGCCAAAACGGCCAGCTTCTCATGCACATGAGAACATGTGCACATGATAGTTGTTTAGGAGAAGGGTGTGGGACCACTTAAGGAACCATGGGCGGAGGGTGGGTCTGCCCCCCAGAACTGAGGTTCTGCACCTTTGTCATAAGCCAACTGTAATCTTTCCTCGTTTTTTTAGAGGAAAAGGCAGAATAGAAATCTCCCTGTAGATCGGGAAATGCACAAGTGAGAGAAGCTGTCCTTGAAGCTGGATGGTATTTTGGGTGTGCCCCTGTATGACTTTATTGTTTGCTGAGTGCTTCTGTATTCAGAGCCATTTCATGTCCTGCACTACAAGGTCAATCTGTAACCCTGTTTAGCACAACTAAGGCGGGATTTGACACACATAAGAACAGCAATGAGGGAAAATCAAGACGGCAAAGGTTCCAGCTAGGTTGTGAAACTGACTGAGCCAGATGGAATAAATGGGACTTTACAGCTCCAGCCTTAACCATGTTTATGTGGAAGTATGCTCAGCTTGAAGATCTCTCACCCTGTGTGGCAGGTACTCTTTTTCAAAGTAATAACATGAAAGAAACGGTGCTGCTTCAGCAACTGTAAACACTCATTCTAAACAGGGCGCTAAACCAGAGCGAGACGCCCCTTCTTCTGAAAGCCACGAAAAATGCGCCCTGCGCAGGGGCAAAAGTGGGGACGACACTGCCCATCCAGCTTGATAATGCCCGTCTGTGTGCGAAAGGCAGGAGAGAGCCAGTGGGGGGTAGTGGCGAAGCGTGCAGAACTGGGAAGCAGAGGACGTGGGTTCTAGTCCCCGCACAACCATAGAACCAGGTGGGTGGCTTTGGATTAGTTAAAGACTCCCAGCCTAAGCTACCTCACAGGGGTGTTGTGGTGAGGATAAGATGGAGAGGAAGTGGGAGAATTTGATCGGCCACCTTGAATTCCTAGGAAGGAAGGAAGGAAGGAGGAATATCAATATAATTGATAATAATAACAAAGTGCTTTCACTGAAAAAGCGCTTGGCCTCGTAAAACCTAGAAAGCCCTTTGCAGGTCTCCAGTCCCAGAAAAGCAACGGCTCTGTAAGTGCTAGGACCCTTGAGAACCATTTGTGAAATGGATGTTTCTGCCATGAAGACGTGTAGCTGTGCCGCCTTCTCCGAGGGAAGAATCGTGGCTCAGTCATGATGTGCATCCATAGAATGCCGGAACAGTAGAGTTGGAAGGGGCCGGAAGGCCCTCAGGTCCAACCCGCTGCTGGTGCAGGACACTGGTTTACACCATCCTTTCCAGGTAGCAGGCCTCAGATTTGATTTGCAGCGCCTCCAGGCAGGGTGAGCAGAGATTCCTGCAGGAAACCCTGGCGAGCTGCCGCTGGCAGTTTTGAAAACCCTGAGCTGGATGAACTAGTGATCAGGCCTGTGATAAAGTAGCTTCCTAGCAGCCATACAGGGGAGGACGGTGATCTTAAAATCATAGCATTTCAGAGGTGGAAGGAGCTGTGCAGGCAATCAGTATTTATATTTGGGGACTGGAGCTCAGCGGGAGAACCGCTGTGCACTGGCTCCCAGGTGCAGTCCTGGAAGGGCTGGGGAACGAACCTTGCCTGAGCCTTTGGCCAGCAATCACTGCCAGCCGGCCAGCGGCAGCTGCTCCTGTGAGGGGGCCACGGCAAGCCCTGAGCAGGTGGCACGTGCTCCCCGTGATGACCTTAGGATCATGGAATGGTGGATTTGGAAGGGGCCATGGAGGCCATCGGGTCCACCCCCCTGCTGGTGCAGGACACCATGTGACACCATCCCACTCAGAGGGCTGTCCAGGCTCTTTCTGAATGTCTCCAGTGTTTTGTTTTTGATTGTTTTGTGTTTTTGCTGGAAGGGATGCATCCCATCTGGGGCCACTGCCTATCTCAGAGGGGTCGGACCCTTCCCCCTGGTGCGTCCAGCGTTCCCCTCCGCACAAAGCCTGTGGCAATTGCAGTGCTGCAAGTTTGTGTTCAGAAGTGCCAAACGTCTCCTGTTCCTTCTTCCAGCTCAGGGGTTTGCCTTTCCATTACCTTCCAAAGAAGAGGCTGCAGATCCCCAGGACTGCCTCAGCACAGGGCCTGAAGACAACGAGGGTCAAGTTGTACAGGATTCCAAGGAAGCAGAGAGATTTGCAGGTAGCAGCCTTGACTGGGGTCCTCGACAAGGCACCCATACACACCCAAAATGTTTCATATTACATACACACACACACACACTAAAATCTGTTTTTTAAATAGACACACATAGATGTGTATGAAATACACACAACTTCCTAGCATTTACACACAGGCTTCAACAATAACCTGTCTATTTGCTGTTATTAATTAATTAATTAATTAACAATATTTGTACCCCGTCCTTTTACGAGACGTCCCAGGACGGCTTACAACAATAAATAAATTACAACAAAGTACAATACTGAGCATGACAATGTTAAAACCTAATTAAAATAATTAAATATTAAAATAATGGGCAAATAAAAAGATTTTTGCCTGGTGCCAAAAAAAAAAAAAAAAGTCAATGCCAGGCAAACCTCTCTGGGGAGCGCATTCCACAGTTGGGGCGCCACCGCAGAGAAGGCCCTCCTCCGGGTACTCTCCCTCCTAACCTCCCTCAAGGAGGGCTCCCGGAGCAGGGCCTCCGCCTCCGATCCCAAGGGGCAGGAGGGCGCATAGGGAAGAAGGCGCTCCTTCAGGCATCCTGGACCCAGGCTGTTTAGGGCTTTATGACTTATATGCTACTGTTTGTATATTGAAAGCACTCTAAGGTTTGTAATCCATTGCATTTTGAGAAGTGAGCCTTTTTCAGTTTGTAAGTGTCATAGTTTGCTGTCAAAAGGCATGCAGAATGCATTTCCCATTTGTAAATTTTAATAAAGCTGGTAAATAATTCTGGCTGGTCAGAAATGTACGGGTTACGTTATCCTTTCAAAACAAAATCTATCAGTCCATAAAATGGACACCTTTTCTGCCAGCCTGCTGCATTTTCTTCCTCCATGACCAGCAGGGAAACTGAGCTGACTGAAGGAGCGGTTGCTGACATCTGCCTGAAGAAGGCAAATTTTATAGTCTGCTTAGAAGCTACTAGCCTATGTTTCCTTATTGTTTGTTTATTATTAGCATTGATACAGTTGAGTTATGCACACACTGTGCAAGGAGAAGAGATGAGCCTGAAGGTTGATTACAATTGCATGAAACAAAAAAACTAGCGAGTTTGTTCCCGAAATATCACCTTGGAATTTGTTCATCCTGCTTCATTGTCCTTTGGGTGAATCCTCAGAAGAGATGCAAATCAAGGAAGCTTGTTCTGCAGCAATGAGCTGAAATTGCTACCAGCCATGGGTAGATCTCTTCTCCTGCCTGGTTCCACCTAATCCCCAATTCATGGTGTCTAATCCAGTGACAATTTGGGCCTGAAAATTCCTACAGTGTGTGCCACATGGGGCTGCCTGGAAGACCACTGTGGGAACTTCAGATTAAATTGTTGGATCAGATAGGTGTTCAGATTGAATTACTCTTAGAATATACAATTAACATGAGCCGCCTGGAAGGTTCTGGAAACAATTCAAGGTGCAGCATTTGATCCTCGAAGACCCAACCATCTGCTCCCAGGCATTTAATGGAATTTCATGACATATGACGGTGCATTTATGTTTGCCCCACTTTTTAGCATGTTGGATATTTTTTTTAAAATTCTTTGTAGTTCACTTGTTTCAATTTTTAAATTTTATGTGTATTTTATTATCTGCGTTGGTGGTTTTTATGATTTGTGAACTGCCCAGAGAGCTTTGGCCATTTAGAACTGCAGAAATATTATTATTATAAATTGTTTTATAGATTATAATACTTAAGTATTTATTAACGCCACCTGAAAAGAATGCCATGTTACCTGAAAGGAGGCCTACACCTGTATGAAATTGTCCACACATTAAGATCAGTTTTCAAAGGCCCTACTCTGTCTGCCAGCAAGAACCATGGGATGGCAGGGTACTAGGGGTACAGCTTTCATGGTGATGGGCCCATATATTTGGAATTCCCTCCTCAGGGCTACACCTCCGTTTAATTAATTAATTGATCATTAGACTTCTATTCTATAACCAATAGTCCCATAGGACTCTCTAGGCAGAAAGAGCATGTTTTAAAAAAATCATGTGAAGGCATAGTCATTCCAGGGTGGATTTTTTTTTTTTTTTTTTTTAATAATCTAGGTGGCGGTGGCAGAAGCGAGTGCAGTGAAGCGGCAGAGGCTGGAGGAGTGCAGAGAGAGTGGTCAGGGGACTTGCAAAGGCAAGGTAGGAGCCTGGGCAGAGGATCGGGGGACAGGGGCAGGAGGAGTGGAGAGGAAAGGCGGCAGGGCTAGAAAGGCCATCCTGTGCTTTGAGATCAGGGGAGTGGGGATAAGTACCTGGAGCTGTGACTTCCTGAGGGGGAAATTCCCTGGGAGAAGGTACTGGAAGGTAAGGAGAGGCGGGCGGCTCTAAAAAGGGAGGCCTTGAAGGCGCAAGCCTTAACGATGCTGCTGATTAGCAAAGCAGGGGGACAGCAGGCTACCACCATGGAAGCAAAGAGAGGTGGCAAGAGGGATTAGGAAGAGGAGGGACCAGAGTGAAGAGGGTCCTTCACAGGGAACGGACACCGGGGCAAGTGGACAAAAGGGTGTACCGTGGTACCTCGGCTCACAAACAAACTTAAATCTGTTCCAGGACTGTGGTCGCGACCCGAATTGGTCACAAGCCAAGCCAAATTTCCCCATCAGGTTCAATGTAAATAAGGTTAATTCATTCTGTAATTTTTGATCACAAAAATTTGAAACTAAGTACACTACAGTAGAGAACACTAACCTAGGTGGTGGGGAGGTTATTGTTTGGAGGGAGAGTCCAAATGATCATTGTGCAATAGCGATCGTGCTCGGGGGTGGGGGGGGGGCGTGATGGCGGCCATGTTTGTGCAGCAACATGGCCGCAAACGTAGTTGTTACCCAATGCAGAGTTCACGAAATGAGGCGAAATTTTTCTGAAATTTCTGTTTGCGACCCGATTTGGTCACGAACTGAGGAAATTACACAGTGATTTACTGCAGAAAAAGCCCCCCCTCTACAAGTGAAACAAGTGATGAATTTAAACCCAGTGGAGGGTGGCTTGATATATTCTGCAAGAGAAGTGGCATCCACAGTGCGCTAAGACATGGTGAGGCTTCCAGTTCTGACAAAGCTGCTGCAGAAGCCTGCAAGAAAGAATTTGTGGAATTCATGTAGGCAGAAGGACGCATCACCCAACAAGTGTTCGACTGCGATGAAACAGGGCTCTTCTGGAAGAAGATGCTGAGCAGAACCTACATCACACAGGAGAAGGCACTGCCAGGGCACAAGCCCATGAAGAACAGATTGACCTTTTTGCTGTGTGCGAACGCAAGCACCGATCTGTGGCCAGAAGGTGTCACCGAGCGTGACCTGAAGGGTCTGATGCACAGGCAGTGGTGGAGCCTGTGTCCGTGGGCAAGAGTATGGGTCTGGACGTCAGTGGTGGACCTGGAGGGGCTCCTTGGGGACCATGAGGAGGATCCGACGACAGAGGAACTTGCTGAACTCCAGAGTGAGCAGCAGAAGGCGCTTGCTGAGGAGGATTCCACTGAGGAAGAGGAAGACAGGGAGGAAGTTAGCAGTGATGTGATATAATCCATTATGAAAAAATGGAATGAGTGCCAGGATTTCTTTGAGAAGCGCCACCCCAACGTAACTGTAACGAACAGAGTGTTGAATCTGATGAACGATAACGTGGTCTCTCATTTCCGGAGGGTTATGCAGAGCAGGAAAAAACAAGTGACTATAGACAGATTTTTTGCCAAAATTGACCCTGCAGCCAAGGGATGAAGAAGAAAGGAAACCCCTGAAGGGGAGCTCCCCATGTCCTTATGGAGGGGGACTCTCCCCCCAAACAATAACCCCCCACACCTTCCTGTCCTCCATGCCAGAAGTCGCCTCAAGCAGTTAGTGTTCTCTCTCTTCATACTGTACTGTACTTTGTTTCATATTTTTGTGGTTAAAAAAAATGCAGAATGGATTGACCTTATTTACATTGAACCTTAAGGGAAAATTTGATTCAGTTTGTGACCAAAATCAGTTTACAACCATGTTAGTAGGAGTCAGAATGGATTAACCTTATTTACACTGCCCTTATGGGCAAATTTGATTCGGTTCTTGGCCAGAATCGTGGAACGAATTAAGTTCATGGACCGAGGTACCACTGTATAGACCATGGGTCCTCAAACTACAGCCCGCGGGATGGACCCGGCCCGCCATGCCCATTCATCCGGCCTGCCATAGCTCGCCGTGCGCGTGTGTGGCAAGGGGCCGGCTTGCTGGCAAGGAGGTCATTTTGGACTCGTTGGGAGAAAAGGATCTCTGCGCACGCATGCCCCTGCTGTTCTGCGCGCACATGCGTCCCCCACCCTGGCCTGCACCCCTTCCCACACCACCTTGGCGGCCCGCACCCATCACTGGCACCTTTCAACTGGCCCCCTATTGAAAAAGTTTGAGGACCCCTGGTATAGACCGTCCCATTACTGCTGTCTTGGGATGGTTTACAACAAGCACAAATAAAATAAAAATGGCGCAGCATCCAGTGATTAAATCTTTAAACCACAATTAAAACCAATTAACAATTAAAATAATGGGAAAATGAAAAGATCGAACAACCACATGTTGGGGATTACATAAGCAGAAGCAGCTGGAGCCGGGGGTCAGACTACATGGCCTGGGAGACCCCTTCTGACCTGCCTTTTTCTGTGTTTTTGTGTTGGTCACTTAAAAACCATTAACCGCTCTGCTACTGAGGTGTGTGTAGGTCTGTTTGCTTGCGATTTAAATAATTTTGGTGATACTATAAGCAAGAGTATACAGTATACTGTATACTGCAGATACAGTATTCTGTACAAGAAACAGAGGTTACTGTGCCCTGAAAGGAAGCTTTAAAATCTCTTAAGTGGCTGTGTAACAGCCTGATGCCTCACAGAAAAAGACATTCAATTCTTTCATGAGAGGTTTCCCTCTCTTCTTGTGGTGGGAAGGGTGGTCTTTCTTTTTTTGTTTTGTTCTGGCATTTTTTTTTCTTCTGTGTGTGGCTAAAGGTGGTGGAGTGAAGACTGAGATCAAGGACGAACCCTTTGAGCCAGAAGAACCTTCCATGGAAACAACCGCGGAGACCATTTCCTCCTCAAGTATGTACCCATCAGAAGCTTTCACATGTAGCAAGAGCCATGTCTTTTAGAGCAGAGCTGGGCAACCCAAAATCCGGGGTTGCATACGGCTTACCAGTCGCCCTCTTGTGTTGCCCGTACACCTCTTGTACTTCCATGGTGCCAGTCTGCCTGCTGCACTGGTTAGCATGTCAGGTGGGGATGCAAGAGATCTGGTTTCTAGTCCACATGAAACCCACATGGGTAACTTTGGGCCAGTCACTGACAGCTGCACCAGGTTGTTGTGAAGATAAAACTGAGAGAAGGAGGACCAAACAGCTGCTTTGAGATCCTTGAAAGAATGAGAAACGGCGTCATATGAATGTAAACATCAAGAAAAACATATTAAACTTGTTTCCTGTATTTATATCCTGCCGTTTCCTCCAAGGAGCCCAAGGCAGTGTGCGTGGTCCTAATTTTGTTGAGACCAAAGTGGTTATCAAAATGCTTCAATAAAGAAAGCAAATAAGCTAATTGGGACACACTCCTATGCATATTTTGATAGGAAAAAAAGACCTACAGTTTCCATCCTGGGAGCTGTACATTGTTTTTCTGTCTAAACATGCATACGATTGCAGTCTCATGCAGTGAAAATGGATTAATACAATGAAACAATATGTTAAAATAGGATCTAAAGAACAATTACAGGGAACCCCCCCCCCCCTAAAATTAGTACCTAAGGCTGCTGGCTGAGCTGGGAGTTGTAGGCCTTTTATCTCTGTTAACTTGCATAGGATTACATTTTACACCATGGGATTATGACTTTCCGTGGAATTTTCCATCTCTCGTAATTCCAGCACCTAAAGGGGTCATCCCATGAAGCTGATTGGTGAGGGAGTTAGGACAGACCGAAGGCTTCCTCACACAGCACAGTCTAAACTGTGGAATTCACTGCCACAGGGAGTTGTGATGGCCACCCGCTGGGATGGCTTTAAAAGGAGATGGGACAGATTCATGAGGGAGAAGGCTACTAGCCCCGCTGGCCATGTGTTCCCTCCATCATCTGAGACGGCCTGCCTGCACACACCAGACACTGAGGAGCTTGGGCAGGCGGAGGTCTCGCACCCCTTCTGCTGGAGGGATCCTGTGGGAAAACGGTTTGACACTGTGTGCCCAGACTGCTGGGCTGGATGGACCTCAGGTCTGATCCAGCAGGGCTGTTCCTAGGTTCTTCATTTATTGTAAGTCACATGGGGCTGCTTTCTCCCTCATGCAGGCAAGGCGTTGAGCCTGGACCCCGTTCCCATCCATCCCGAGCACGAGCAAAAGGTATTTGGGACGGCAAAAAGTGAACCAGGATACGCCATAGTCCTTGTAGCTTGTGGACAGGCACAGGGGAGACCAGAACAGAAGGGAAGGTCCTGCAGCAGCAACCTGACGGGGGAAAGAGAAGAGGTCTGGGTCGAATTCGGGAAGATCTTCCGGTGGAAGTCCTACCTCATCCCGCATGAAACATCCACGCCAAAGGTGAAGCTCTACCAGTGCTCCGTCTGTGGGAAGAACTACAGCACCCAGTCCATCCTGGCAACACACCGGCGGATCCACACGGGCGAAAAGCCCTACACGTGCTCCTTCTGCGGGAGGAGCTTCGCCCAGCGGGCCCACGCGGAGAAGCATGAGAGGATCCACACGGGCGAGAAGCCACACGTGTGTGGCGAGTGTGGGCGGGGCTTCATCCACCACTCCAGCCTGGTGGCTCATGAGCGGTACCACGCCAGGAACGGCCCACACCTGTGCTGCCTCTGTGGACAAAGCTTTGTCGAGCGAGCCCGCCTTGTAAACCATCAGAGAATTCACATGCACCAGAGTGACCACTTTTGCCCCAAACTCAGTGGGTGATCCTCAGAACAGTACATAAACCAAGGATGAACCGCCGGTGGCCTTCCAGTTGGCTTGGTCAGTAATTCCCATCATCCCCCACACTGGCTGTGCTGGATGGAACTGGTGGAAACTGTAAGCGAACAACATTTGGAGGACTACTAGTGGCCCATTGCTACTATAAACAGAGTGCCGCAGGTTAGACAAATTGTCCCTCGAGCCCAGCTTCGTGCATAATGCAAACAGCTTGTTGAATCTGGTGCTGTTGCGAGGCGGGAATGCAGCCGTGCTGACAAACTGATTTGCTAAACTACAAACAACCCTGAAAAAGAAACCTTGGTTTATGAACTCTGGGTTGTTTAAGCCTTGTCCAATATAAGCCCAGCACTATAGGTTATTCATGGGTTGTTTCTCCAGGCTACAAAGCTGGCAAATGAGTGGAAATAAAGCTGATCTGCAGACTGGTACTCCTGGTATTCTTTGCCTGGTACTAGAGCAAGCAAAGGAGGGAAGAAACATGCAACCCAGGGATTGAGGAAATGAACTATGGTGTGTTTAGTTGTCTGCCCGATAAACTCTGGGTAGGGCTAGGCGAGTTAAAGAAACCATGGGTTAGTGTTATGTATAACCCAGCCTATTGCCTACACTGATTGGCTGCATCTTTTCGGGAGGCCTCCAATCAAGGTCTTCCATCTCACCTGCTCTCTGTTCCTTTTGGCTGGAGAAGTTGTGAAAACTCAGTTCTGGGACAAAGAATACACTCCACCAGGGGACAGTGGTTGATTTCTTCCATAACCTTGTGTAGGCTTGGATCTTTTGGGTAGAAATCTAACGTAAGACTGTAAATCTCTTTGTAAATGTAAAATACTTTGGACAAGAAGCTTCTGTTAGGTAATTAGTATGATCTGTGAAGGCCCCAACACAAATCTTGCCTTGACCATGATTCTGTGGCAACAATCTGATGAGTGGGTGAGGTGATAATGAAGCTCTCAACTGGAATAAGTGCAATATTTCAGGACTGGGGACCAAATCCAACTCTCTGAAGTTCCCCAGATGGCCATGCCATGCCCTTCTTCCTGTCCCACTCCATTTCTTTCAGCCCCTGATTATGGTGTGGCTTCCTAGCTTACGTGCAATTCCTCCCATTTGAAAATGTTAAAATGCCCCTCCTAAGATATAGCTACTAACAGGCAGAGTGTTAAGCTAGAACAGTGACGGCGAACCTTTTAGAGACCGCGTACCGAAACTGCAACTCGGAACCCACTTATCACAAAGTGCCAACACTGCAATAAAACCTGAATTTGCTGGCCACCGGCACAAGGGGCAGCGTTCCACTGACCACCAGCTTTTGGCCGGCCCTGAAAAAGGCATCTGAGTGTATTTCCTACCTTTCCTGCCTTCTGCTAAAATCACAGTCCAAGCAAATCCCTGGCAGCTCGCTGACGGGCTGTGCAAAAGCTCAGTGAGTCACTAATGAGTGATGTCATTGCCCGGCGCCCTTAATCTTTCCAAATATGCGCATGGCTGCTGGGATCCTGTGGACAGAGAGGGCTCTGCGTGCCCCTTTGGGCACACGTGCCATAGGTTTGCCATCACTGAGCTAGAATATACTGGTAAATTGGCCCTGCCCCATTTGCGTTTGGTGGCAGCCACCACTGGAACACAACAGAGAGCTTCTTCGAAATTGAAATCAGCCCTGGCATTTCAGCTGGCTAGAAACCTTTTGTTACAGCAGTTTAGTTGTGGTTTCCCAGTCGAACCAACTCAGAAATAAACACTGAAGTCAGTGAAGATGGCAGTGGTTATGTATGCCCTGTAAACAACTGTAAGATTTGAGTTTTTAGTTTGTTCATTTTGAATGTCTGTCTGGTGGCTAAAACTATATAGCTATATATCCAGAAACAGAAAATTCTCTAAATAGAAAAGTAGGATATGTATGTTTGTGTGTGTTTTTGCATTTGAGTTGTGACATATGTATATGAGTTTGAGAGCTGTGTTATTAATGTTTGCAATCTATTCAGTGGATTCTTGGGCAGATAACACTTAATTGGAATGGCAAAATATAATTACAGTTAAAATAGAACTACAATGCAAAACAGTTAAAATAGAGAGCCTTTCTGGTTAAGGGATGGGATAAAAATTAATAAATAATAAAAGTAATGCAAATATTTAAATGAATAAAATACAATTATAATGCAACACAGTAAATGCAAGAATATCCCAGGCAGGTGATCACTTGAGCTCTTATGAAAAGCTTCTGCAGCTCTAGCTACAGGCAGAGAAAGCAAAAATACCTTCTTTCTGTCTGTCCTGCATCTTTGACCCATCTTTTTCACTGGATTACCTTGCATTTCTAAAATGATGAGGCGGGGGGTGGAATAAGTTACTCCACAGCAAAGGCCCACTATAGTGTCATGGGTCACTGTAGAGCTTTTGCAAGCTTTCCTTCATGACATCTTGTTTGAAAAATCACCCCATTTCTTCCCCTTCCTGTCTGTTTTGTGAAGGGAGAGTTGTCGCTGGCTGGAGGGCACGCAAACCCCAAGTCTCTCTCTCTCTGTTCCAAGTGATGCTCTTACCCCAGTCATCTCCTGCACACGGATAAGTGATTCCAAACTTTATGGTTGGGCAATATCTTTGCAACAGGATGCTGCTCCCAGCCCATAACTCAGAGCAGAGGGTAGATGCTTTTATGCACTTTCACCCTGATCAGGAATGCAATGATACCGATGATCTTGGCCTTGGTTGCCACTTGAAACATCCTTTAACTTGAGAATCTTTTCTAGTTCCTTCTTTGCTGCCGTTCTGTGATTCAGTCTTCCTCAGATTTCTGGGCTGCACTCTCCCTTTGAATCAGGACTTATGTATCTGTTTATCAAATTTGTATGCCGTCCATTACTTCCGTCTCTGGACGGATTACAACATTATTTCAGAATAAAATAAGTTAACTATTCCACGCTGGCTGAACATCATATAAAATATAAATAAATATCTCAGTTAGAAAATATTAAAATATTGATCGAATAAAAAGGTCTTGACCTGGTGCTGAAAAACATATAATGACGGCACCGAGCGGACCTCTCTGGAGAGCTCATTCTACAGTTGGGGCGCCACTGCAGAGAAGGCCCTCCTCCGGGTACTCTGTCTCCTAACCTCTTTCAAAGCAGGTTCCCCGAGGAGGGCTTCTGCTGCCGATCTCAGGGGGCGGGAGGGCATATAGGATCAGCCAAAGCGCACACTTTCGGGTTCCATAGAACTCTTCATCGGACTCGGTGGGACAAGAGACTGATGGGAGTCCGCAATTAAGGCCCCTGCCTCACCTTTACATGATTCATTGCTCTATGTATGCTTGCATCCTTCCCGTCATGTTCGACGGCTGGCGGCGGGGCATCGCGGCGCGCCGATCATCGGTTCGCTGCCCTCTCTCGGCACTCTTCCCTCCAAGGGGTTAAACTGAACGAGTTTCCAGGTGCCCAGAGAGGCTGTAGGAAAGGCTCCGTGAGACTGAAGTAGCCAATCGTTAACGTCACTTCCTGCCCCGCTTCTCATGGGAAAGTTGCCTTTGAATTTCCCACGCGCCGGAGCAGGGGGCGGTGCGGAGTCAAGTGCGAGGAGAAGGCCCTGGTGCGTGTCAGAGGGCGCATTCACACGTTCCTACCGGGCAGAACCGGGCTTGCTACCCGAGCGAGCAGCGCCCTTGCGTTGCGTGCGGAAGGTTTGAATCTCTGCAACTCTGGTTACACCGATCTGTTTACTTACTATATTTATAGCCGCCTTTCTGTCTGCAAGGAATACAAGCGGGTTACCTTATCTTCCCTCTCCCCGTCTCATTCTCATAACAGTCCTATGAGGTAGGCTAAGTCGAGAGTCTGTGATTGGCCAAAAATCACCCGAAGAGCATCATGGCCAAGTGGGGACCAGAGCCTGGGTCTCTCCAGCCCTAGTTCTGCACTCTAACCATTACACCATACTGTGTCTCTTGCTGCCCTCTCTGTTGACCGTTTTGACTAGGGCTGATTGTGCTAGGCGAGCCTTTCCAGGGACAACTCCGTAAAGTTGGGGCAGCTCCGCTGAAAAGCCCCCCTTAGTGGCCACTGCATGCTGCACCACATAGTCAATAGCTCCTGCTAGACTTGTCTTTCAGTCGTTTATCCTGTGGCTTGTTGCATAGGCCACACGTGTGTCTTGCATTTTGCAAAAAACCACCCAAGATGCCACCGGATGACACATTGGCCTGACTTGGTATAACACAGTTTCCTGTGTCCCCATTGTTTGTTCTTTAACTGCCCTCTGATGCTCTCTCTGTTTCTTGATCGTGCAGAAAGATGGCTGTTGCAAGGTATGTTAACAAATGAAACACCTGGAAGCACTAGGTCATGGGAGTGGTGTGCTGTAACCATTTGTAATTTTGAGAGCCTGGTCAACCTGGCCAGATAACAATGACCTCTGATCTGTCCCAAAACAGAAAATGGCAGTGGGATACGCATCACACTGGCTTCCGCTTGGAGGCTGTGCAAGAGCAAGACGTAAGGCGGCCATATCTAGACCCAACAAGCCCAGAACTAAGGAAGGGAGTCATGGTAGGAAGCCATTCTATTGTTCCTGCTGGGAGTGTGAAGAAATTCTGGGAAGCCTTGGGAGGCAGGCCAACTTCTACAGCAGCAACGGGAAACCTATTGGCAACATTTCCTGAAGGTGGCGGAAACCCCCTGCCTGAAGTGCAGAAACACAGAGCCATCTCTGCCAAGGAAGGAAACGTGGGCCATCTCTGACGCCGGTCAGCAGCCTAGGAAAGAACTCCTTCCTGGCTTCACCAAGGAGGGCCAACAATCCTTTGGTTCCTTCTTGGCTGAAAGGGGGAAAAACCATAGGAAAGTGAAGGAGGCATTCCCAGATGAGGAAGGGTATGGAAAGTTGTTTTTGGGTTGGGCAGCCTCACTCTGGGCACAGTGCACCAGTGTTTCTGATGCTTCTGCTACCAGAAGGGGCCCGTGCGGGCTCAGGTGCCCTCCGGAAGCACTGCACCGGTGGCTGAGGCCAGAGAGGAAGACCGAAGACCAGATCCTGGGTATCCTGGAGCAGTTCTTGGCCACCCTGCCCAAGGAATGCAGAGCTGGGTGAAGGAATGCAGCCCTGAGAACTGCTCCCAGGCTGTGGCCCTGGCAGAGGACTTCAGTGGAGCTGGAAACAAAGGGTCAGTGCATTGCACCTGGCCATGCGGAGCCATTTCTGCCCCAGTGTATCCATCTGCATTGAACTATTTATTAGAAGTTCTCTACCAGGCAAAGGATGGTTTGCTAGCATAAACAACACAAATCTGCCACCAGCAAAATAGCAACTGGGATACTGAATGGCACAATGAAAGTATTAACATATCAAGGCTTTAAAGGTATAAGGTTCTGTCTGACCTTACCTGGGATTGTGTCTTGAGACAGCACTGGGTGTCCCAAATGCATCTGCTTGGCCC